CCGGTCAATTAATTATGACGATGTAAATAATGCTCTATCGAAATTAGTACATTGGTTTAACGCCAACAATTTTCTCTTAAACGGCAATAAGACAAAATGTATTAAATTTACAATAGCTAATTACATTCGAATACCAATGTGCTCTTAAATGGGGATGAGTTGATTCTTGTGGATACCACTGTTTTCCTTGGTATTATTATTGACGCGAAACTTTAATGGGGCCCCCATATACTCTTATCTAAATTAGCAAGCAGACTTAGTTCTGCAGCATATGCTGTAAAAAAGATTAGAAATCTCACGGAGACATGTGTATTTTAGTTACTTTCATAGCGTAATGTCTTATGGAATTTTGCTATAGGGTAATGCGACTGATATTGAAGCTATATTTGTTTTGCAAAACAGAGCCGTACGGGTGATTTATAACCTAAATTGTAAAGAGTCCCTCAGAGAAAAATTTAAAGAAATAAACATACGTATTAACTTTGGCATCGCAATATATTTATGAAATTGTAATGTATGTACATAAAAACATAAATAGCTTTAATAAGAATAAGGATGTTCATACTTTAAATACTAGGAAGAAACAAGCTTGTAATGCCAGTTAATAGAATCCACAGACTCAGTAATTCATTTATGGGGCAATGTATACGCTTTTACAACAAAATCCCAGAACATGTTCAAAGTTTGTCGATAAGCAAGTTTAAAAGTTTTATTAAAGAAAAACTGTACAATAAGGTTTATTATAATATCAAGGAATACATGCATGAAAATAACCCCTGGGAATAAGGTGATCGCCACCATGCTGGTTCTATGAAAATTCATTTAAAATTGTATAAACAAAATTATTGTTAAGTGAAATTATGTTTAAAAAAAAGTCCCGCAGGGTTTCTTGCTGGTTCTTCCCAGGACAGAGATATTTTCCGAACCAGTGGTAAATAAAAAATGACTTTCAATAAGTATTATGTAATAATCTATATTGAATAAAAATTATTTTATTCTATTCTATACCGCTGGATATATGACTCTCCCAAGGAGCGCCACTTAACCCGGTCTTCGGTTACACACATTCAGTTGTTTTTTTTCAGTAAACGCTTAGCTCTTACTGAAACAGTCTGGTCAACGGTTTTTTTACAAGAATTGGACTCGATTTTTTTACTAATTTCATATATTATTTAGATTTCGCAACCTGCTCGAGTCGTAATATAGCATTATTTATTTTCACTCGATACGTGTTGTAATGTGCATAAAATTTTTATTTTTATTTAAAAATAACGGGGTCTAATTCAAGGAAAGGAAGTACTGCATTGTGATTCATATTATTAACGCTTTTTAAACAATTTTTGTTTAATAACCTTTTTGAACTTATTGGAGTTCAATTTTGTATGTTTTCTGAGATTTTGTTGTAAAAGCGTATATATCCGCCGCAAGAATGGATTACTGATTTTCTGGAAGCGAATAACTGGTACTATTAGCTTGTGTCTGATCCTAGTATTCCTAAGTAAACAGGTTTTAGAACTAATTGTAACATGGTTACTAACCTTGTTACGATTAGTTATAATTAGTAACTAAATCAATATTTGTGTAATACCTTATTGTTTTTTGTGTGCATATTTGTGTGCACAATATTATTGTCTCTGATGTCTCATCTTATCTCGTGAAAGCATTGCATTACATTTGTGTCGATTATGCATTAAATGGGGCGTTTTTGTTCGAAAACCGTATATGGATATATTTAAAATGTAAATCACTCACAATTGGACCAGTTGAGAGACGAAAATGCTAACACGCGTGGTAGTTGTACATGGTAGAGCCACACTGCAGTACAGCACGTATGGCCGGGGAAGGACACGCAAATTACCAGCGTGAAATATGTTGTGACATAATATGATGAGTGACAAGAACCGGATACCCTTTTTACCCGACTGCGGAAGTAATGGTTTCATCAGCCTATATATGTATATATGTAAAGACCAAACGCGTGGACCGATTTGTCGAAAGACATGTCGGTAAATAAAATTCAATATGGTGACAATCAGACGCCATATTGCTTAAAAGAAAATTCTTTGTAAATCATATTTAGGTGTCTCGTGTCTTTTTTCGTTTTGTATGATCATTAAGGATCTATAACGATTTAAAGTAGCGATCATTCTCACTTAAATTTTCAAAACTTGTAATAAAGCTGTGATAAAGTTCTTATATAATCATATGGTGGGTATTATTAGTATTTTTAAGCAGTCTGCTTTTTATTTAAAACAGTATTAACCTTGCTTGTTAATGTCATTAACGAAACATTCCTAGTTAAGTCTTAGGGGTCGCAACATTCATAATTAATAATGCCACAGCATGCACTTTACAACAGACGTACTGTGTGCTAAGATTTTCTTAGTTCTATTATAGAGCCACACTGCAGCTATATTATGGTTGTAGCACGAATGGGTCGGCTCGACCGGGGTAGGACCACGCTCTCACAGAATACCAACGTACAATAGCAACTTAATGCTGCTGTGTTTCGTATGGTGAGTGTAGAGAACCGGAGATCCTTTTTACTAGAAACAAAGCAATCCATCTTAGTCCTCAGGGGTGACAACGCATCTACATTTTAATTCTCAATCGAGAATAAATGGGCCACAGCATCCACTTACCATCAGCTGGACTGTGTGCTCGTTAGTCACCCTTATTCTATATTGAGAAGAGTCTAAACGACACGAGCATCGGCAATCTTACGCCAATGCAGAGGTAATAAAACCACATTTATGTACAACATATTAGAGTTTTTCATGGTCGAGTTTTCTGAAGTTAAGTTATTTCTATACGTTTAAATTACGGATTCTGATAACACACTTAACGGTACCCACAGGGTTTTTGTTACGCGTTGTATATCACTCATATTAAATTAAAATGTAAATTTAAGCCACTATTTACTAACGAGATCATTGGCGTTCTTTCGAGAATTTAAAAAAAAATTTATAAGTTTATATTTGTTTATTCACACCATATTTCTGTGGTCGACGACCTGACGGAACCGGTCTCTGACCACTTGGACCACTTTATTGAAGATCGTTGGACGCTGTTGGCACAACGCGCCCACTCGTAGCTCCACGTGTTTTATTTATGTCGCAGAGCATTTGTAACGGTAGCTTGCACTGATTATTATCTCAATTTGATGACCTGGGACTTTTATATAAAACTTAAGTGTCAAACAAACTTACAGTCCAATGAAATTCAACAATAAGGAAGGTTACAGATACGTTTCTCAGATACTTCTTTCTTCAGATACTCTGTGGACCGTTGAGACCAAAACATAGCAATGCACAGGGTAGAAATCAAACGCTTTGCTCGTTACGTAATATTTACTTCAAGCGCTTATAGCCGCTGTTCCAACACGGCTCCAAATACATATTACCATTCATGTTGATTCTGTATCAGGCGACCCTAACGGTCACCAGCGATGTCTCCGGTCCCCTTTGCATCTAATCAACAGTTAGTGGTCGGCTCGCGCACGATTTACGATTAATTTTATTACGGTGTCCGGTTTCATTATAAGCTTTGATTATAGATTGCGTTAACTGTTAATAGTTATTGGTAAATGTGTGGTAATGTAATGAGGCGACGCCTTTAGAATTAATTCGTTATTACGTACTTCGTATTAGCTTAATTTGTATGTATCTATGTATGTGTGAATATAAAGGGATTTTGTAATTTCTCATCAATACGTTTATGTTATGATATTAGAGATACTTAGTTAAGACTGGGCGTTTTAACTTTTAACGTTAGCACACCTCTTATATATCGGCGATCGTAAACAGTAGTGGAAAACCTTCTTAACCGACTTCAAAAACGAGGAGGTTTTCAATTCGCGTATGTTTAATTTTTTTATGTATGTTACCCGATATCTTCGCAGACTGTGAACCAATTTTGATGTTTTTGAATATTTTTTTATAAATAGGTTATACTTCAAGGGAAGTTCCATATAAATTTGGAGAAAAAATTTCGTCCTTAAGGGTAGTAAATAAATAATTTCCTTTTTAGCAGTTTGAAAACGGTTTTTACTTATCGATACAAGTTACAATTGCTGACATCTCCTTCCCTGTGTCCCTTAATACTCTTTAGTTAATAAATAAATGTTTCTTTCTTCCTAATTTTACACACTTTTTAGTAGCTTGACTGTATGTATCTTGTAGACTTATTAAGTACCGATGATAATACAATAATTGCAAAACTAGTTTTTATAGAATAGAATAGAATAGAATGATTTTTATTCAATATGGATTATTACATAATACTTATTGAAAGTCATTATTTTATTTACCACTGGTTCAGAAAATGTCTGTCCTGGGAAGAACCAGCAAGAAACCCAGCGGGACTTTTTTTTTAAACATAATTTCACTTAACAATAATTTTGTTTAATACAATTTTAAATGAATTTTCATAGAACCAGCAATATAATCGTACAATGGGTATTATTAGTATTTTTAAGCAGTCTAGTTTTTATTTAATACAGTATTAACCTTGCTTGTTAATGGTATTAACGAAACATTCCTAGTTAAAACTCAGACTATGACCTAGTATTTACACTAGAATCCTTATATCGGTGATGCGCTTTGTGTAAGTTCTTTTAGCGCGCTTTTGTTTCTTTCATGTTTGCTTCACTACACGGTTAAATAAAAGCGCAAGCTATCGGTATTATTAAACCGTGTAGCGGCGGTGTATGATTATCCACTGTCCCATATCGTTCCATGGGTGTCGTAAGAGACAACAGAGGCAAAGAAACCAGGACATGGATATGTATAGCAGCGTCTTTCTAATAACAATTAGAAAATAAAAATAAACTTCGGTTCGGCGGACAGCACGGTGGACATTTCCTTACACTAAAACACTCAGAATTAAGACGAGGCCTGGGCATGTTGTGTATTGCCTAGTTTGAAGAGCACCTCCCTACTTTTTCGTGAGGATTTGTTTTTTAATAATAATTAACTTGTGTTACAGAAATTCATCAAGAGATGGCGTTACATAGGTTATTACTTATATTGGCCGCGGCACAATGTACGATCGCAACGAATCTTTTCAGGAGTAAGTGTCATCAAATATGGTTTAAACTAATACCAATCGAAAAGTTAATATTAATAAAATAAATTACTTTTTACTATTGAACTTTACAAGTGAAAAAAAAAAACTACCAGCATCGAAGAATATTTTGCTCATTTATATTTCCCGAAATCGTTAGTAAAGAGAAAATAAGTACCACCTTTTCCTCATATGTACCACCGTTACTCTTTACCCTCGCTTCTTTATAATTTATAATTGAATGTTTAAAATTAAAATCCTAAATATTATGTTGTGTTTGCAGCGCCCAGGCAATCACCAGGCAGTATATTATTTAATAGTGGTAATGGTGAACAGTGCTTGGGCTCCGACAGAAGTACCGGCGGTGTATGTCTGTCGAGAAATCAATGTAACACCCAGGGAGGCAAGGCTATAGGATTTTGCGGGGTATTCGCAACCTGTTGTTCTCGTAAGTTTTTACTTGTATTTTTCCCATTTTATTTATTTTTCAATGTCATATTTAAAAAAAATCACATATCATATAATATTCAAGAAAATAATATAATATTTAATATTTTTATTTTAAATACTGCCATCTTACTCTTAAATTGTATTTCGCTAAGCAGCTTCAACTAGTCTATAAAGTTCCAACCGTTTTCTCTAGATGATGCTTTTCTAATTTACAGTTAACGCCTGTGACATAAGAACAAATACGAAGGTGGCTGTATTCATTAATCCGCCTCTAAGCAAAGAGTCCTCTGGCCTGGAATGCTCATACAATGTGGAAATCAACAATAATAATGTGTGCCAGATGCGTATTGATTTTGAAACCTTCAATCTGGCACCACCAACAACCGTAAGTATTTACTATTGTACTAAGTAATTCTAGGACTATATTATGTACTCTCCAGTATTGATACCACAAAATAATTTAAATGTTTGAATACTGCAAATTTAAATGATTATTTTACAGTAGGCTGTTGACGTTCGTGTCTAATGTTAATTTGCATTTCGATGGTACGTTAAAAGCGTGTAGCTTTCTAATTTTAATGTGGTGATAAGTGATAAGTGATAAGCGTGCCGTGTCACGATAAATTGTAAAGAAAACCAAATATTTTTTTCTGTAAAAGCACCTTATAAAATTTTAAATCTAATTCATAATGTTGTTGGAAACCAAGAGATGGCGCTTATATTATTATTTATTTTACAGGTGGAGCCTGTAGAAAATGTGACCCAGAGACCTGGCTACACCTGCAGAAATGACATCTTCCAAGTGACGAACCTCCAAGGCAACTCTGACACTCTTCCCTCTCTATGTGGTGACAACAGCGGTCAGCACTGTAAGGGCAATTACACTTTTTTCTTTTAAATGCTCATTACTAGCAACTCGCCTCGGCTTTACACGATGTATTTTTACGATATACATGACTTTATATTTATACGGAAAAGTTATTTGAAATTCTTAAAAATGATTGTTAATTAAAACCGCATCAAAATTCATCAAGGAGGTGCTTAGAAAATTAAATCCCCCAATTCGGAAGCTTTTATGTGAATATTTTTTTCTCTTTGATTCTTTGAAGTCGGCTTTCACCTTTATTAAAAGTTTAATTTGACTCTTTTAAGTGGACCAAGGAATATCACAAACTAAAGATAACAACTTGTTACGTGGTAGAGCCATGCTGCAGCTATATTGTAGTTGCAGCACGAATGGGTCGTCTCGACCGGGGTAGGACCACGCTCTCACAGAATACCGATGTAAATGTTGCTGTGTTTCGTATGGTGAGTGTAGAGAACCGGTGACCATTTTTACTGGAAACGAAATATTCTATCTCAGTCTACTTCAATATAAGTTATTAAGAATAACTCAAATAACTCAAAAACTATTGGTCTGACCTTGATCAAATTCATATGGGACCACACGAGAAGTATCAGCTTCCATATAAAAAAAGAATTATCGAAATCGGTCTACCCAGTAAAAAGTTATGAGGTAACACACATAAAAAAAACATACGCGTCGAATTGAGTACTTCTCCTTTTTGGAAGTCGGCAGAAAACTAGTTTTACGGGGGGGGGACTGAGGTGTATGACGTCCCAATGTCATAGTTAACCACAGCTACCTCCAGATTAAGAATAATCCATGACATGGGTGCTGTAAAGTGCTCGAAACTTCGGGAATATAAAATAAGTTAATATACGCGATAAAATCCGTAATAACCAGTTTTATTTAATGTATGGCCTACAAATAATTGTTCTGACTTCTGAGTCTGAATGTGTGACATTGTGTATATATAACCACGATTACAGACTAATTATTAGTACTATACCACGATAAAGGAAAAAATCCTACTGTGGGTTTGTCATGTTTTTTAAAGACTTCTTCTAGCCTCTTAATATTGTGTCAGGGTACGTCCGGGTGAACGCATCCACTAACAGCCGCGCCATCCGAATCAATTTCAAGATCGCTGATCGCAACACGCAGCCACAACTCCCGCAAGCCACTTGGAAGATCAAGGTCACTCAACTCGAGTGCTTCAATACTCTTGGGTTAGTATAATTAGGGAATCTACGATTTCTTCCGCCACCAGGTCGGCGCCACTTAGGAACGAAGTAAAATATTTGACAGATTTCATGGCAGAAGAAGTTCATTATATTAGTTATATTTTATGTTAATTACATTAGAAATGGGTAAATCAAACTTCTATGAGTGTAAAAATAAAATACAAGCGTAAAATAGCAGCTTAATGTTGCTGTGTTTCGTATGGCGAGTGTAGGGAACCGGAGACCCTTTTCACTGGAAACGAGGTATTCCATCTTAGTCCACAGGGGTGACAGCGCATCTGAATTTTCAGTCTTACGGGGTATTCACTTGACGGACATGCCCGCGGGCATGTCTGTAGACATGCCTGCCGGACTTCGCTACTATAGGTCTGTGCAAAGTTTGATAGTGTAGGACCGTCACAGTCGATCTGGCAGACTTGCCTGTTGAACGTCCGCGCGGTCCCATTTTGTCTGTGCGGGCACAGACATAAAACAAACTGATGAGTCTGTGTAGTGTATTGCGGCGACAGACATGTCCGAACAGACATGGCCGAACAGACATGCCCGCGTGCATGTCCGTCAAGTGAATTCCACGCTTTAATCGAGGATACATATAATAGATGTTTTTCGACCACAGCATTCCCTTACTATTAAGAGGACTGTGTGGTCGTTTGTTACCCGTATACTGTAAAAAATATCATAAATATACTTTTGTTTATTAACTGCGCGTACAATAAATAACAGATTGATTGATTCGTGATCATATTTTTTACAGGAAATATCGTGACGGTATCCTGGAAGCCATTACCTCATCGCTACCCTCGACCCCATTAACAACATCTGCGGACAGGGATGAGTATCTAATAGGTAAAATTAAATGGTTTATATGGTATATAGTAAATGGTATATAGTATTTGATTTGATGTATACTTCTTCGGATACCAAAAAAAATTCTTCTAGTCTTTCCTATGCCTCCTACGACACCCGGGGAATTAATGCGTTATGGTTTCTCTTACGCTACATTACAACGCAAGTAATTGATGGCGCCAGATTGCGGTATACCATCTTGTATATTATATCTAGACTAGCTGACCCGCCAAACGTTGTTTTGCCATATACCTACATTATTTCTAGGAAATATTTTTTAGTTTTAAAAATTGCGATTAAAAAACAGGAGTTAATCGTAGAAGGGTGAAAATTTGAAGTTTTATGTATTTTTCAATGCTAAATCATATAATAAAATAAAACTAAAAAATTTGTCAAAAAACATAAAAAAATATTTAGGGGTGGGGTTTATTAGGGGTTTCCGTCGATGCCCCATCGACGGAAACCTGATATCCGTCCGGATGAGAGGTCAGCAGAAGGTCTAACAGGGAAGGTGTATGATCCTCCACATCTGGAATCCGCGTAGGCGAAGTAACCAGTTGTGTCAGACCATATGACAAGGCAAAGTCATAAACAGATCTCCCCGCATGATCGGTTAAACGTGAACTGAGTCATTCGGCGTGGTGGGCGTTAAAATCGCCAAGGATCACGATCTCTGCGGATGGGACCTGTTGTAGCAAGGCATCTGTAGCCATTTGGACGTGGTCAATGAGTCGGTCTGTTTCGGCATTACCGCTATGGGACCAATAGAGGCACCCGTAGATGCGCGGATGGTCATCGCTGTCTACGCGTAGCCAAAGGATGGACAGGTCCGAACCTTCAAGACTGCTGAGGCGTCGAGAACAGATGTCCTCTCTGACATACACGCAAACTCCAGCCCGAGGCACAAAGGAGTGCTCCAATTTGTACCCCGGGTATGAGAGATACGAAGTATCAGCCGGAGAGGACATCTGCGTCTCGGTCAGTAAGAGCAAGGTTGGCTTCGCCGTCTCGAGATGGTAGTGAACGGCGTTTAGTTTCGAGTGAAGTCCCCTGATGTTGCAGAAATTTACGGATAATGTGGCAGGGGTCGCCTTGGTACTGTTGCTCAGTTTGCCCCGAGCAGTTATGATTTTGAGCGGAATTTTGACATTACCATTAGGTGGACTGTATGCTCTTTTGTCACCCTTATATTCTGTAAAAAGAAGATTCCGTCACCCTATTAAATCAAATATGAAAATATTAGAAACTGCATGGTAGCGATCACCTCATTCCCAGGGGTTATTATCCATCATGTACTCTTCAGTAGTATAATAACCCCTTATTAAACTTTTGTAAATGTGCCCCCTAACTCCGCCTATAATGATTTAATTGTACATCTGTCCCCCAGCTCCTCCTGGCTGCCTGCAATACTACCCCGATCGCTCCGGCTTCTTCGAGTCGTTTAACTATAACAGAGGGGCAGGGCCTTACATCGCCAACATCGCCTACGCCACATGCTTCAGGAGAACGTCTGATGTCTGCGGCATCAAGTGAGTATTTTGTGTTGTTTCTCCTACTGAGGATATTAGGAGTCTTGCCAACAACTATCGCTGACGTAAGTTATCGATATCATCACACAAGCCTTCTGTTGACCAAAGAGCTTCCCCGAGGAGTGCTGCAAAACGCGGAGGAACTGCATGTTTTATCGGATCGTCACGTACTAGGTTGCCACTCGAGAACCTTTTTCTCCATTGATTATCTGTTTTCCGATCTATACGGCTGGCCCATTGCCACTTCAGTCTACTTACTAATCTGTTGTACTCAGTTGTCTGAAGTTGTTCGCATTGGTTGGCATTTAATTGTAAATCATTTACAATAGAAATAAAAAATATCAGTCATACTCTAAAAACTGCGGAATTATTAGAAAACTTGTTGACATTGTGAAAACTTATTTTATCTTTTATTTTATATTCCTCACATTTTACTATTTTACAGTATTTTTACCGCAACTCAAGTTTACAGAATATTATTAAAATATGTAGGTACTTAGTTTTTACTGTTAATGCACTGTCATCCTAGATGTCACGTATATGGCTAAACGTAGTGATTATATTCTCTTTGTATATGCCACAAACATTTTCAAACATTGAGTTACATGTACTACGTACTAGAGAAGCCATTCCAAACAAAAATTGTGTCCTACTCTATGTCTTCGCGCATGCGCGGGAGTAGTAGTCGCGCATGCGCGAAGACTTTAATTTAATATAAAATAAGATATTAATATAAAATAAATATAAGAATTTAATATAAAATATCTTAATTTAATCTAAACAAACATATTTCTAAATAAAATGTATTAATAATTATTTTATGGAATTCACAAATCTTCAATTTACGCAATATTTAGTTTGTATGGATTGCACTACAGTTCAGTTGAACATAGTCAATGTTTAGAATGGCTTCTCTAGTACGTAGTACATATAACTCAATGTTTTTAAATGTATTGTTTTGATTTTTGTTACACGTAAAGTAGGGTACAAATTAACTCAATTTCTTTTTTTAAATAATTTTTAATGTCTTTTATTAATTGAAACGTTCTAAAATTTATTTAAAAAACATTTATGCCAAAGATAATTACAATAAACGTAGTGATTATATTCTCGTTGGTAATTACAACTTTGTTCACCTATTACATTCCATTTTTTCCTTTCGGTAAAAATGTCATACGCACAGAACACAATTACTCTACCAAGAGTACGGTATTAATTTATATGACTGTCAAATGACTGTAACGATTTGGAAGTTTTGTTTAGTATTTAGATGTTTACATTGCAACTTTGTCTAATTTTATGTGTGTCCCTTTAGGAAACAACCGAGCAAACCTCGGTCACCTAGGTGCTATTATGAATATGTGTAAAAGATTTAATTTAAAAATTAATAACTGCCCAAGTGCGAGTCGGACCCGTGCATGAAGGGTTCCGTACCATACTAACAAGATTTAATACTATGTAGGTACTTTTTAAATATAATTTTATTTTATATTTTTTGTAGCGAATATAGCAATACAAACATTGTAATTATTTCAAGCGTCTACTTGTTGCCATTAACGAGTAAAAAAAAACACGTTTCTAGTAGGGGGCTCCCCTTTAATTTTTAATTATTTTTATTTTTATTATTTGTTTTTACAGCGGCAACAGAAATAAACCTTCTGTGAAAATTTCAACTGTCTACCAATTACGGATCATGAGATACAGCCCGCTGACCAAAGAGATTTAAATATATTTACTACTACTACTTAAATGTCTTTGCTGCTGACAGACAGACGGACGGATAGCTTTAGCTTTGTAATAGGGTCTCGTTGGTTACCTTCGTGTACGGAACCCTAAAAATTAGTTATTTAAAATAATGCGTTGCTTTCCTCAGGCTGACTGCGGCGAACTTCGAAATGGCGTACCACGACGACCAGAACATGCACGTGGACACGGACTGCCAGATCAACCCGGTGACGCAGGGCGTCGCGCAGTCCGAGGACTATCTGTTCATCCCCGAGGCGGAGACCGTTGAGGGGTTGAGGGGCTCAAAGTTCTGCGGGACGAGTGCGCAGAACCAAATTATTGCTTGTAAGTGTAAAAATTAATAGTAGATTCACCCTTGACATCCTTTCGGTGGCTAATAACCACCAGATTATAGATCAATATCTCCAGAATCGATAAACTTGTTTTTCTTCTAGATTTTACACACCTGGTTAATATTGACATTGGCATTAGCACAGCTCATTACTTTTAGTGTTCTGCTACATTCAAGCAACACAATTGGATAGAATAATTTCATTTAACAATGATCCATCTTAATCCTCAGGTGTAACAACGTGTCTATAGCCTTCTTTGTTTGAAGTTGGTTGTAGGTGTTCATGGACTATATAGCCTCTTACCATTAAGTGGACTGTAACTTCGTTTGTCAGTTCAGTTTCATAAAAAAAAAATCTAGATTACCTACGTTTCGTAATAACACGATTCTGTATTTTGTAAAATATTTTGAAATTTATTTTTTACTAGCTGTTCCCCGCGACTTCGCCCGCGTTCAATTAAAGGTTTTTTTTTTCCGCGGAACCCTAATTCTTTTTCTAAAATAAAAGTAGCCTAAGTTACTCCTTATAGCAACAGATATCTGCCAGTGAAAGTCCCATTAAAATCGGTCCAGCCGTTTCGGAGATTAGCTGGAACAAACAGACAGACAGACAGACAGACAAAAATTAAAAAAAAAGTGTTTTTGTTTCAAGTACCGTATACACTTTCATGTGTATTTAGTAAAAAGCTGTTATTTTGATATTACAAACAGACACTTCAATTTTATTCATTTGTATAGATGTAGAAATGAACATCCTCATATATTATATCTTTTCGACAGCGGCTCCGCCTGGCCCCTTGTACGTGCACTTCCACAGCGACAACCTGGTGACGGACGGCCTCCCAGAGTCCGGTTACCGATTCAACTACAACGTGCTCAACAACTGTTACCTCAAGAAATAAAAACACTTAATTTGTTTCTCACAGTCTCAGAGATTAAATTTGGAAAAAGAACAATTGAATTTTAATAAGAATTCAAGTAATTTTATTTTATTTTAAAGCCAAGCAATAAATATGTAGGTCTATTTATATTCGTGTAATTTTACTTACAATGAGTTTTGATATTACACAGTTAATTTAACTTGATATTAATAATACTCATTTTGTCTTGTAATATTTTTGTTATTTATTCTTAAAAAGACTGTTTACTTTTTAAATTTTGACAAACTATATGTCACACTTTGTCTATGTCAGATATGCATTTTTTTAATTTATCTAAATATTATATAGAAAATAGTTCATAAGTAACGAGAATGAAAGTGCTGTACATTATTTTTTAATTTATCATCGATTGAGTAATAATTTATTCTATGTTATGCATAAATGGTACATTATATTTTTTAGATTATAATTATGTTAGAAAGTATGGAAAACATTGCATTTAAATATTAAATTTACAATAAAGGCGATAATAGCTAACGATGTTTTTCCTTCCTTAAGACACTTTATGACCTATTGACGATCTTGTGGTCTAGCGGTGAGAGCACCTCGATGTTTCGTTGTGCGCCGTTGATTTGAATCCTAGTCGAGGACAACTTTTGGGAAAAATTTCAAATTGTTAATGAAAAGCTGGTTGTCATTCAAAAATAATCCAACGCACAAAGCTATATTTGCGATATTGGCCACCGAAGTTTGAATTATTTTGCTCGTTATCGACTAAGACTTATACTTTTTTTTACAACGTAGATATACAGTAACCGATATACCAAGATACCAGTGATTAATGCTGCTGTGTTCTGTATGGTGAGTGTAGAGAACCGGAGACCCCTTTTACTGGAAACAAGGCATTCCATATTAGTTCTCTGGGGTGACAGCGCATCTGCATTTTGATTCTTAATCGAGGATAAATGTAGATGTCTACGGGCCACACCATCCACTTACCGTCGGGTAGACTGTGTGCTCGTCAGTTGCCTTTTTTCTATACAAAAAAAGGACAAACAAAGAGAAAGCACTGCATACATTTTAAGTAATGACGAACCACCTTTTTTTTCTATAACAGCTCGTAAAAGTTCACAGTTCACTGCTGACCCATTTACAGTTTCTTTTCCGTCTGTCGCCTCTTACGCCATTCACGAAATTACGTGGGGTATTTCTTACGCGGCTACTACACGGCGAATGTTTTTCTATTTCATTTTTAAAACATTACGTGTTACGCGGTAGAGCCATGCTGCAGCTACAATTGACATAGCTGCAGAACCAATGGGTCGCCTTGAGCGAGTAGAACCACGCGCTCATAGAATACCAGCGTGAAACAGCAGAGTAATGCTGCAGTGTTTCATATGGTGAATGTAAAGAACCGGATAACGTCTTTACTGTTAACGAGGCATTCCATCTAATTCCTTAGACGTGACAACACAACTGCATTGTGATTCTTAATCTATGATAGATGTAGATGTCATCAGCTGGACTACCTGCTCATTTGTTTCGTTTATTGTTTAAAAAACCTGTATTTGTTGTGTGTCAACCTTATCGGTAATTACTAACAACTAATAGGTACAAATTAATATTGAAAACTGAAACGATTTCTTCATAATATATGTACTATATTTTATTTCTACAACAATATAAAACTATACGACATACAATAAAGCTCAAATAAAAATCAGTTAAAATGTACATTATAAATGCAAATTCGATTACTCTAACAGTGACTACATTTATTCTTTACTAGCGTCTACCCGCGGCTTCGCTCACATGAAAACGGAAATAACTCAATGCTATTTTTCAACGTTAAGCAATTCGCCCGTCAGAATATGGTCTACTTGTACAAGTATACCAAATTTTATGTTAATAAGTTTAGCCGTTTATGCGTGATGGAATAACAAATATCCAGAAATCTTTCGTATATCTATATATTTTATGTACATTAGTATAATTTGAAGCAGCCCACCAATGTTAGGTACTGTATCATATTGGGTCAGACAAAAAAATTCCTTACAGTAACAACAGTACCTTTGAATGTTGTGACACCCGCTTGGTTCAGCGGTCTTGATAGTAGCCTACAACCATCACCATCATCGACATAGCCAAAAGCCATCTGCCTACAAAGATGCAGGTCCTAGGTACAAATGTCTATTTTACTATTTGTACGGAGACACAAATTGGTTAAAATTCATCGAAATTTCTTTCAACCTTACCGCATACATCTGAGATGAACAAATTATTTCCTACGTTGTTTACAATTTCTATTTGTCAACCTTGGCGGGCGGATAAATGATACCAGTATCATTTAATGGTACCTGTAAATAATATCTTAAAACAATACTTAAGTTAAAGTAGAAGTTTTAAAAAAATTACACAATGAAAGGTAATTAAATTTTCAGCAATTCTTATATTACATTTATTCAATTAATTAATAAATAAAACTCTATCGACCACAATAACAAATTCTGACTGACAGAAACTGAACACATTTATTATCTATAATTTCTGTGAATGTATGAAATCGATAGTTTCTTATGTAATACAAAAGATCTTGTTTACAGCGTAGCAATGAATCGAAACATTTTTTATAATTAAGAACCATATCACTGAGTAATGCAGGGCCTAACAAATAATGAAATAATGTTGCTCTTGTATAATTCACCCTCCTAATACAAGCACCTTATATTTTTTAATATGCATTAAGCCTACTTAATTTTAATTAATATACCTGTATAATTACACAAATACTTAAAAATAATTTGGAAAATCACTTCTTAAGTCCTACTTGCTTCAGTCTATAGATATTCGTTGAAAAAATAACATCTCTTAAACAACATATCAACGGCCTAAAACAAAGTGTGAGTGCGCCTTATTATAATGTTGTCAGTATAGTATAACCTATCATAATATTTACAATAAATAGTGATTAATTATAATTAAAATAGTTTCATGTTACATAATTATTTATAAAAATATGTATACAGATATTTCGCATTATAAATCAACCAAATGACATATTTTTAAGATGATAATTTGACAATATTTTTTTTCAATTACTGTGGCATTGGCTACAAGGCCTTCAGCCAAAAAGAATATATCAGTGGCTGTAATGAATTTATCCAATATATTGATTAATTAGATACTTATTTTGTTTCTAAGAAAATTGACAATAGCATATTTAGTTGATGATGATAGTTTTTGAAAGCTTAAAAACAGACATAAGCATTTAAGATTTTTATTATTATTAGATGAATTGTTTTATCCATTTAAACAGTGGTAGAGCTACGCGGCAGCCTTTGCTGTTGCACGTATGGGCCGCCTCGAACCGGGAAGGTACCACGAGCTTACAGAATACCAGCGTGAAGTAGAAGCTCTGCTTCTGCATTTTGTCTGGTGATTGTAGGTGGCCGGAGGCCCAATTCCCCCCCCCCACCCTTAAACATGGTAGCGGAGTTAAATAATACACTACCCCAGGAAGGTACCAGCACCCCCGGTGACGGAGAATTCCTCGCTGAGCCTCCACACCCAAGCTACCCTACTTTTCCTGAGCGTAATTCCGCTCGAGACTAAACCCGCTCGGAGCAAATGGAGCAATAAGTCAAAGGCGCCCCGAGCCACGCTATCCGTGAATTTCTGCAACATCAGGGGACTCCATTCAGACGCATCTGAAATTCCCCTGGTGTTGCAGTTGTTCATGGGCGGCCGTAATCACTTACCATCAGGTAAGCCGTATGCTCGTTTGCCTATAAAAAGAAAACTGTTAATACACAACGACAACTCAGCAGAACTAATTTTTGTGTGGTCAAGTACCCGCCAAAAATTTCGTTCCCGCTTATTTTTTACATTCTTACAAATAATAAAAGCCTATTGAAAAGTTATTTTATACATTTTATATTTTTATAATATTGTAAAAGATTTGTTATATATATATTTAACCTGTTAATAATATATAATAACATAATTGAGTACTAAAGAGACATTTAAATGTTTAAGAAAGATATCTGAAACTTTTTTTAATAGACATTAATATTAAAAGGTACATGATTGCATGGGGCCTACGATACTTATTATACTATGTCCTGTAAAACGGCGGACCCCTGCTGACTGTGTAAGTGGAGAGCGGTATGCCCTTGCTGCCGTATATGGGTTCAGGTGCGTTCTCGTACTCCACGTCGTAGTAGATGCCGGTTTGATTCTGTAGCAAAGACAATATTAGATTGTTGGGGTCAACGAGTTGTGCCTGTGATGAGAAATCGTCACTATATTTCGTCCCGTAAATCACGTAAGTAATAGATGTTGGAATAATGGATATATTATATTTTGATATACTTAGATGTTTCATTATTTGCAGTTTCAATATATATAGCTATATTAATAGTATAGTTGTAGCAGAATACCAGCGTAAATTAACGGTTTAATCCTGCTGTGTTTCGTATGGTGAGTGTAGAGAACCGGAGTCCCTTTTCACTGGAAAAGAGGCGTTCTATCTTAGTCGTCACGGCTGACAACGCATCTGCATTTTAATTCACAAACGAAGATAGATGAAGATGTAGATGTCTAGGGGCCACAGCAATCACTTACTATCAGGTGGACTGTGTGCTCGTTTGTCATCCTTATTCTATATTAAAAAAAATGTATTTTATTATTATAATATGTATACAAGGCGTCATGTTAAAATAACGCTGGAAGTTGCGCTGCGCATTTGGCAATTTATTGTTCTATTTGGCGGGCAGGTCACGCGCTGCACGCTTGCCGGTGCGCTATTGGTTTGTCAGTCGACCTTTGCTTTCCGCGCTGTGTCCACATTACACGTTTTATACGTTAGTTCTCAAAATACCATCGCGCACAAAAGTTTTTAATTACGAATTGGTTTTACATAGAAAAGTGAGCAAAATTATTTATGACGTATATTTTTTTATGAAGAGGGAGGCTAATAATAATGCAGTTGTTAATTAAAACAATGTATGAAACATACCGCA